ATGTGTTTTAGTTTGGTGTTTTTGGTGTGTGGTTACCATTAGGTTTATACAAAAGAAATTTTCTAATGCACAGTCCTTTTGTTCTAACTGCACCGTGCCTTCACCCCCATTGCAAATTCAGACCTTTACCCCTGCCGTTTTTAGTTTTTGTTGTCACAAGTTATCTCTGTTTATGCTGTGAGTTCATTTCCAAATTGCAGTAGTTGTGGTATTTTTATTTTCTCTCTTTGTAATGTTTTTACCTTCTTTGACTTTTATATGGTATTTAATGTATACAATCCTATTCTGAAAACAGTTCTGTCTAACTGTTGGTGATCTTACTTATAATTTTGTGTCCTTTTGTTTTGTTGTTTCAGGTAGAATAACCCCCTTGAGTATTTCCTCCAATGAAGGTCTTCTGGTGGTAAATTACCTCAGCTTCTGTATGTCTGGAAAATTCTTTATTTCTTCTTTATATCTAAAGGATGGTATTATTTTATTGCTGGATAAATTATTGTTGGTTCATAAATTTTCTCTTTCAGTAGTTTCAATATTTGATTCCATTCTTTCCTACGTTCAAGAGTTTCTGCTGAGAAATCTACTAATAATCTAATGAGATTTTCATTATAGGTTACTGTCTTCATTTCCTGGGCTGCCTTTACAATTCTTTTTTTTTTGGTCATTAATTTTTTTTTACAGTTTTAATACAAGGTCCCTTGTAGAAGCCTTTTTGAATTGAGATAATTAGATGGTCTGTTTGCTTCTTTGATTTGAGGATCTGGCTCCTTCCATAGATTTGGTATGTTTTCATCACTTTTTTGTGTGAATAGGCTCTCTGTTCTTTTCTCTATCTCTTCTTCCTCTCATATGCCTATTATTCTTATATTACTCTTTCTGATGGAGTCAGATAGTTCTCATAGAGTTCTTTCATAGTTTTTTTTTAATGCCTAAGTTTTTCTCTCTTCCATCTGCACCATTTCTAGATGTCTATCTTTGACATCACTAATTCTTTTATCCATCGGGTCAGCTCTATTTCTTAAGCTCTCCAGTTCATTCTTTACTTCTTTTATTGACTTCTGTATCTCAAGAATTTTGATTTGTGTTTTTTTAAGTTTCAGTCTTTTTGTTTGTTGACTTTATATTTGAGTGTATTAAACTACCTATCTGTGTTTCCTTGTATCGTGTTGATATTTTCAGAACTGCAATCTTGAATTCTCTTTCCTTTAAATCACATATTTCAATGTATTTAAGTTTATTTCTTGGATATTTTCTATTTCCTTTCTGAGCTGCTTTGTTAACTTCATTAGTTATGGTATGTGATGGATTCCTTCTCTGTCTAGGCTTCTACATATAAGTGGCAGTTTCCTAATCAATTGAAAAGGAGTCTTTATATTGTTTTTTAGTAGGTGGCACTGAAGCACAAGTATATTTTAGTTTCCCTTGCACTCCTTCCTCTGGCTTTCCAGATCTCTGTGGGCTGGTGGAAGTCATCCTGCGTTCCCTGGGAGGGCACATGCAATCTGCAATCTGGTTGGCTCAGTCCCTGCAGGGGTATATGGTGGGGTACAAAATCCATAAAACCCCAATGCTATCCCCTGCAGCCTCTTGCTGCTGGCAGTGCAGCTGCAATGGGTGGTAATGGGGTGCACTGTGATAGGTTGGCCAGTGCCTCTGTGGCTCGGTTCTGCCAGTAATAGTGACTAGCAGACCTCAGTGGCCTCCCCTCTGTATCTCCATCTTTCCCTGGGATTAGTCACAGAGTGCGACTGTCATTCTGGGAAACATATTTTTGTAATTTCAGTTCTCAAGTTAGTAGATAATGTGCTCTGCAATGTGACACTCACTGCTATAGATTCTTCTGAGGCCCTGGGAAGGTAAAGGGAGGCAGCCAGGCTCTGTGGCTTTCTTTCTTTGTCTATTGATAGTGACTGCAAGACAACTGTGGCTGCAGTATGTGCTTCATTCCTGCCCAGGTCACTGGGTTTAGCCACAGCACATACTGACCACTCCTGCAAGACTGCTAACTATTTCTGCTCTTTCCAACTGAAGGGAGTACCAGCAGCAATCTGAATCATCCCCTTGCTGGGCTGAGACCTGCAGTGAGCTCTGAGATGCAAGTTCTGGGCTGTGTCTTTGGCACCACCTCAGTTCTTCTTCTTTCCCACCTACCTGGTTTACTTCCATTTGCCCACCTTTAGATGCTTCAATGCACGAATCTCTCAGATGTGTTTGTATGTTGAGCAGGGGATCCTTTATTAAATTGTAACTCTTCAAATTGTTGAAATGTCAGGGGGAGAGACCAAGGGAATCTCTCATACCTCCCTTCCTCTGATGTCACTCCCTGAAGTGGTTCTCTTCTAGAAGCATATGTATGGTTATTATTTTCTTATTCATTTATTTACCCTATGTATTTTGATTCAAGCATTTAATTCATTTACAATTGGAGTAAATATTGATAGATATGCAGTTATTATCATTTTATTATTCATGTTTATGTTCCTTTTTTCTTACTCCTCTTCCTTCTTTTTCTCCTTTTCCTCCTCCTCCTCCTTCTTTTTCTTCTTCTCCCCCTTCTTCTCCTTCTTCTTCTGTCTTCCTTCTAGACAACCTTTAACATGTCCTGTAATACTAGTTTGGTGGTGATAAACTCATTTAGCTTTTCTTTGCCTGGGAAGCTCTTTACTTCTTCTTTAATTTTAAATAATAACCTTGCTGAGTAGAGTAGTCTTGGTTGTAGGTTCTTGGTTTTCATCACTTTGTATATTTCATGCCAATTCCTTCTGGCCTGAAAAGTTTCTGTTGAGAAATCACCTGACAGTTTTATGAAAACTTCCTTGTGGGCAACTATCTTTTGTTGTTGCTTTTAAGATATTCTCTTTGTTTTTAATCTTTGCTATTTTAATTATGATGCATTTTAGTGTGGGCCACTTTGGGTTCATCTTGTTTGAAATACTCTGTGCTTCCTGAAAATTAATATCTCTTTTCTTCACCAAGTTAGGAAAGTTTTCAATCATTATTTTTGCAACAATATTCTCAATCCCTTGCTCTTTTTTGTTTTTCTTATGGTACCCCTGTGATGTGGATGTTGTTATACTTGATGGTTTGTATAGGTCCCTTAAACAATCCTCATTTTTTTTATTCTTTTTGCTCTTCTGATTGAGTGTTTGCTCTTACCTTGTCTTTCACGTCATTGATTCAATGCTCTGCTTCATCTAATTTGCTGTTGATTTCTTTTAGTGTATTCTCCATTTCAGTTATTGTAGTCTTTATTTCTGACTGGTTCTTTTATATGGTTTCCAAGTCCTTTTTTATGTTTACTATCTCTTTGTTGAAATTCTCACTGAATTCATCTATTTTTTTGCTCTAAGTTCCTTGACCATCCTTATAACCAGTGTTTTGAATTCTGTATCTGGAAGATTGCTTGTTTCAATTTCATTTGATTCCTTTTCTGGAGAATTTTTTCTGTTCTTGCATTTGAGACATGTTTCTTTGCCTCCTCATTTTAACTATCTTTGTGTGCTTGTTTCTAAATATTAGGTAGATATGCTGTGTCTCTTAGTCTTGGCTGGATGGCATTGTGCATTTGGTGTTCTTTGGGGCCTAGTGATGCAGTCTCTACAATCGCCTGAGCAAGGTGATCCAGGAGTGTCTCTGTGTGGGTTGTATGTGCCCTTATGTTGTAGTTGAGCCTTAATTGCTATTGGCAAATCAGTGGGTGAGAATGACCCTTAGACTGGCTGGCTGTTAGGAATGGCCATGAGCACAACATAGTAGCTCTGGTGCAGGAGCTGATCCCATGGAGCAGGATTTACCCCAGTAGAATTTGATGCCTGTGAAGACCTCCTTTTTGTGTACCACTTGTGGAGCTATTTGTGTGGTGCTCTGTTGTGGTCTTAAGCTGGTCATTGAGTGTCTTGATTCTGTGGCTTCTTTGATGAACTCCAGTGCAGATCAATATTAGATGCTGCCTGTGACTCTTCCAGGGATACCTGTTAGGAACTACAAAGTGATCTGCAATTGAAGGCTGCCTGTGCTGGGCCTGGATGCATGTGGGAAGGGACACGCTGCAAACTGAAGACAGCTGCCACCAGTATCAGGCCTAAAGCAGGTCAGCAAAAGCTGCACCTTAAAACCTGCTGCCACCAGCCAGTTGACTATATGTCTGTAGAGGTAAATTTTTACTCATATTCATTCATGGACACTCCTCCTTCCAGCCCAAAATTGATAGAGCTAAAGATGGATTAGTTAATTCAGAATAGAAAAATAATCTAAAATCAATAATAACACTTTATAAACAATAAAGTTATTTTATACCATTAGCTTTTACCAATGAGAATAAACAAAAGAATTATATGATTGAAGATTAACAGGGAAAGCTTAGAATTTGATTGTTATTTTTGTTGTTGCAATGATGGTGGTATGTGTGCCTATGTGCGATTTTCAACTATAACATCCTAGTAGACAGCCAAAGACATACAATATGTTGGACCCATAAAATTTTTCTTACATTTCCCTGGGCCCTGCTTATATATTGACCAATTTTCCTGAACATTGTAACTTAAGGTTCACTGGAAAATTGTAGTAGCATTAGATAAGAAACACAAAGATGAAGATGTGTTTATAAAGGAAAAAAAAATAGATATTACTTAACTATTGTTATTTTTTCCTCTCTTTTACTAGAGAGAACATAAATTAAAAATAATACATTTCAAACTTTTAAGTAATAATTCTATGTCAAAAAGGAATCTGGTAGTTTCTATTTATACTGAAGAAAAAAGACAATTATTTACTTTATCAAAAAATATAAATGTCACGACTACTTAAAAAATTCTAATTATTCTTTGTGAAACAAAAATGTATTGGTAGAAATAAGTATGATTATTTTTCTGATGTTTTTTCTTAAAAATAATTCTCATGTTATGCCTAATAGTTACAAGAGTGATTCTCTCTAAAGATAAGTGTTGGATGACATGATATATACAAACATAAAGCCAATGCCTAAACAAGGGCCCATTTCTTACTGTGATCTTTTCCTCCTGGATAGCGCAGCCTTCTTCAAAGTCGGCATGCTTCTGAAGAAGCGCTTCTACAGCACCTACAGAGTTTCCCAGGTCCTCATTATCCAGGAAAGCCTGTAGAAGACAAAAGACACACCTCAGCTGTGCCTCATCAATGAAAAACATTCTCTTTGGAATATCTCTGAGACAAGGACTAAAGAGGGAGGTCAGAGAGTTAGAGAGCAAGGTGTGACTTAACACAAAAAGTCTAGTAGTTAGAGACTAACCTCAAACAACAAGAGCTTCAGACTTTCTTCCCAATCCTTTCATACAACTTTATCACCTTTGTGTCTAGGTCTGTTCACATAGAATTCTCCCAACTAATGTAGGCACTAGTCTGAGCTCTCAAGAGGACCACTCACATCCTCCTAAAAATCTCTGGTTAATCCTGCCTGACTCATCATACTTTTCTCTTCCTAACCCCTTTGAAATTTGATTTTTTTCTTATGTTAATTTGAGGTTAAAGCCTCTCTACTATGTATTAAGTTTTTTTTTTTTTTTTCTATACATCTTTCCATGAGAGAATAGTAAGAGCCTTATAGAGAGTCAATCTTTCCTTTGTGGTTTACTCTTTAGTTCCCAGGACAAGCTTAAGACCATAGAAGTGGCTGTGAGTGTGTTGGTGGTAGTCATGTGGTAAATGAAGGGTGAAAAAATAGTTCTGGATACTTGCTGAACCCTTCCTGTTACCTCTTGTCTACTCATCCAACTGTCCACTTGCTCACTGTCACGGTAGAATAGGTGCAAGTCCAAGCACTGCTCATACTGATGCTGACGCTTGTCCCATAGTTCCAGCAGGGCAGCCCAGTTGTTGCCAAGTTCTGTCATCTTTGGAAAGGAAAAGACAATGTACCGGGAAGTTATTTAATTAATTTATCTCAGTCTACATTACTGAGCATCTAATAAATGCAAGATTTTTGGAAAGATACAAAAATGAACAGGAAATGGGCTTTTCTCTGGAGGATGTAATGCCACAAACAAGCAATTACTCCAGTTAATTGTTAGATTATATAAAGTGCTCTGGAGAAAAGTGTAGTACCTTAAAATAGTGGACATTTGATTTATTTCAAGTTCATAGAGCATTTAAGTTATCAGACTGAGAAGTTTGCATTCTATTCTGAAAGCAAATAAGAACCATCAAGGACTTATATGCATGTATGCATGACCAATGGACATGGACAACTAAATCGGGGGCGGGGTGGAGGTGGGGTGGGGTGGGGGGTGCCAATGGGGTAAAAAGGTAAAATATCTGTAACAAAAAATAAATGAAAAATTCATAAGAGGAAAAAAAAACAAAAAACAAACAAACAAAAAAATAAAATAAATAAAATCAAAAAAAAAAAAAAAATTGGGTGGTTTGCCCTGGCCAGTTTGGCTCAGCGGTTAGAGCATTGGCCCACAGACCAATGGGTCGCATGTTCGATTCTAGTCAAGAGCACGGCAGCTATGGTCTGTACCTGCCCTGGTTGGGGTCATGCAGGAGGCACCAGTCAATGTGTCCCTCTCACATCAATGTTTCTCTCTCCCTCCCTCCCACTTTAAAAAAAAAAAAAAAATTAAAAATTAAAAAAAAAAAAAAAGAACCATCAAGGAAAGAGAAAAGTGACACTATCAAACCCATAAAAAAAAACAAAAAACTGTTTTTGTCCAAGCATCTACCCAAGAAATTCCAGCTTATCACCACAGCTGCTGTGTTAACTCCACCAAAAAGGCAGCACAAATTCTCAGAATCCAAGTATAATAGGAAGGTTTTTAAGAACTTAGAATCCTATTATTCCTTTGGCAGAAAATTATTAACAATAAAATCCATATTATAATGTTTCCATAGAGTACTGGAGAAATTCAAATTATAGTTATCTCAACTTTATCCATCATGGAGCACTGGAGGCCGTGCTTAGAATCTAATGAAATGCAAAGGAGCCTGCAAATATTATTTTAACTATCTTCCCAAAGAGTTCCTGTGACTTTGTGACTGGAGCAAAATGTCTCTAAGGGGTAGAGAGTTGAGATGAGTCCCTGTGATCCAGGAGGTTAGGATGATGGAAAACCTGATTCTTTAGTTAGTGGCATTCAGAATGGTCAAAGCTTTTCTGTTAATGTGCATTTGAAATACAGAAAAAGAAGAATCAGTTTGATTTGAAATTGCATTGAGGGGAAAAGAAAAGGTACATGTGCCAGGCACCTTAGGGAACCCACAGATAAATGAGGTGCAGTCCTCACAGAATTTATAATCTAGGAGTGAGCATGGGAAAGTAATAAAAGATTATATGTGACAATTATACGGAGGTTTCAAATTAGGTAGAATGTAGGCTGATAAAATTAGATTGGTTGATGAAATGAAGATTTAGAGGTAAGGAAGTAAACATCTTCTCCTGAGAATTTCAAATTACTCAATTTAGCGAAAGCAATATATGAAGGAAGCAGCATGAAAGTTGGGTACATATTACTGATATCTCTATATGAGCTCTATCCTCCTCCAATTCAGAGGTTATCATGCTATTATGAGATTAAGTGAGGGCTACATGTGCATCAAAATTTCACAAATTCTGGTAAACTAATTACCTTTTCCAAAATTTCAGTGGAGGCTTCATGATTGGCATCCAGCAGGGCTTGACCAGTCTCACCAACCGATTGAAATCGGTCATCATAAGAGTCAATCTCATGCTGTGGGCATAAGACAAAATGTCTTAAAAATGCAGCAAGAAGCTTTATGGCATTCTTGGCACCTCTCTTTTCCTCCTATTGGGGAGAATTTTTTCTCTTTACCTTATGCTGCTGATGCCTGTCCAGTAGGGCTTCTCCACCAGCCACATCGTTGGGCAGCTCATCAGCATTGATCAGATTAGTCTTCTCCTTCATCCAGCCTGAGAGTTCATCATAGTCAGATAAGAAAAGCCAGTAACTGTGGGAGAGGTAAGGTAAAGGCCAGAAGGAGAAACCACATGTAAATTGACTTTGGACAGAGTTAGGGTTGGATTGAGCTAAAGGTGCAATATATTCCTTTCCCTAATTCTACCCTTCCCCTTCTCCTGAGGAACTTTCTGTCCCTTTAATGGTTCAAGTTGCAAGTCCTTTACTCTTGGTTAGACATGCCATTCTGTGATGAGGCACGTAGGTATTACATCTTGAACATCACAAGGTCACACTTACCCCAGAGGCACTTGAAGTAGAGCAAAGTACTCTCAATGAGGCCAATAAATAAGCACATGATATATAAAATGATAAGAATCACCTCGTGAGAAGTGGGAACTAGAGTTAGGGCAAGGAGTCCTCATGTATCTTAGTTCACCCTTAACCCTATTAATAAAAACATAAACCACTAAAACAATTCAAAAAAATTAAATGCTCACCATTTAATTTGAAATCATAACATTAAGATAAACAGTATTTTCTGGTGATTTAATGACTCACCATAAAATCAACTACTAAAATGATACCTCCCTCCTTTTTTTATAAGCCAACCCACATTCAGGAAATAATTCTAGATTAATTATTATGCTTTTCAGATTGAAAATGTCTTTCAGTTCCTTAGTTAGGGCCAGGATTTTGACATTTCCTTAGCTGTTTTTCCAGCTTCATGGGCCACTTCATAGCCTCTTACAACTAAACAAACAGAAGAAGACAAAAGGTGTGTAGGTGAGCAGAAGTGGCATGCTAAGTATTCTATCAGTCTGCAAGAAACTTCTCTTGGCAACTTAAAACTTCTTTTGCCTCTACTGAGCAGGCAGGAGGGTTGAGTCCTTCATTGTTTTATTACTTTCAACTCTTTTATTTCTGTCTTTGGTATTATGCCTGGATCCTATAGAGAAAAACAGAACAATAGAGAGGAGAGATTCTGCACCAAAAAGAAGTGTGCAGCTTTGCATATCTGTCAGAAGCCAAAGCACGAATGTCCTCCCAGTTGGAGACCAAATTCTCCTCCATCTCCTGGATCAGAGGTGCATCTGCAGGATGGGAGAGCTTCAGCTTGTCTGCTGTGGCACATAATTCCTTCACCTTTAGGATGAAAAAGAAACCTAGTGGGAAATCCAAGCACTCTGAGTTCTTCTGGCAGAGTTTTATCGGAGGGATGCAACAAAACAATCATATAAATAATAATAACTTATTAATACTCATGATATGTTTATATTAATATACTAATATACTATATTAATAATAATTTACTGAGAACTTTTGTCTCTCATTGTGCTAAGCACTTCACATACATTTTCTTGATTTATAGTCTTCTTTTTATAATACTGTAAAGCACAAACTATTCCTAGTCCCTTTTATGAGAAAACTGAGTGGTAAATATTTTATTTGCTCAAGATCACTATGCTAGTAAGTGTCAGAAATAAGGTTTAGACTTAAGTCTGTCCTTCACCAACCTCTATACAGTTTTCATAAGTATTATAGTGGGAATCAGAAAGACATTTCTGCTTAAGAGGACAAGAAATGCCAGTAATGCTAGCTCATTTTGAGCACAATTCTTGAGGAGCAGGGTTACTAGCAAAACTATGAATATGGACGACTTTCCACATGTTACCATTAGTCCTTTATTAAGTCTAACTAGAATCAAGTATTGTCTAGGACAGAGGTTATTAACTGGTATGCTGCAGAAATTTTTAAAACATATAATACCTGACAGGGGCACTGACCTCTTTTCCTTTAGATTGTCAAATAAAAAACTGACAAAAGCCAACAAAACAACAGCCACCTGGTGTGAATGCCCTGTCTTCAATCATAAATATATAGGTCATATTGATACTGTTATAATAATCTGGTTGTTATTTAACAGGAAAGGAATAAATGGGAGACTAGACATTATAGGCATGCCATTTATACAGCTTTGGCAGAAATCTGCAAATTAACTCTCTTCAGGTCTATCCCCCATAGATTGATGGGGGAAGGGACTGGATAAAGGCAGTTTAGATACATGACCAGTAAGGTGTGGGTACATGGGAAGGTGCCTACCTGTCATTCATGCATAGAAACAGGTAACTGGCCAGAACAGGCATGGCCACTGCAAGGGTGCGAACTCTGAATATTTAAGCCCCTGAACAAAGAAAGGTCCCTCTCTTTTCTCGGCTCTCTTCCTTTCTTTTGCTGTCTGCACCAGACTCCTGGCTTCCAGGGCTCCCAAGTCCTGCATTTGCCCACGTGGCCCACGCCATGTGGAACCCATACAATGGACAAATGGACTGAATCTTGCCTGATATTCTGCCAGAGTCAGTTTCATCATGGAATGAATAACTCTGGACACTGGCCCTAGTTCCAGCTCTGCTGAATCCACAGCTGCATGTCTTCCAAGACTAGATTAAGGGACATGGGACTTTGCAACCCCAGCAATATAACTGTGCAAATAAAGTTTTTTACCATGTCATTATTTTCACATGGGGGCTTCTGAAAATGCTTATTTCAGCAGCACACCAATAACCTCACTCTCATAAGTGGCAGGGAAATCTGGCTCCCTGGTTTATCCAGTAACAATATAATAGAGTTGCATTTTATTGGTCACATTATATAATTAAGTTGTGTCTCATTGATTAATTCTTGGTGGCAGAAAACCTTATATATAAGTATGCATAACCAATGGACATAGACAACAAACCTGGGGACAGGACAGGGGGATGGGGAGTAGGGTGTCAATGGGGAAAAAGGATAAACATCTGTAACAAAAATAAATTAATAAAAATTATTTTTAAAAAAGTTACTTGGAGCAAAAAGGATAGGTAATTGCTATTATTATTATTGTAAATTAATCAAAATTATACCTATTTTTGTCAAATCAGCAAAAAATATATATTTTTTAGTGTGTCACAGAACTTTAGTAGTTTATGTGTGCCGTGAGGTGAAAAAGGTTAAAAATTGTTGATCTCGCCGTGGCTGGTTGCTAAGTGGTTAGAGCATTGGCCTGTGGACCTGAGAGTCCCAGGTTCAGTTTCCACTAGGGGCACATACCTCTGTTGTGGTTTGTCCCTGGCCCCGGTTGGGGTCATGTGGGTGGCAACCACTCGATGTGTCTCTTTCACATTGATGTTTCTCTCTCTCTCTCACTTCTGCTCTATCTGAAGATGAATGCAAGAATATCCTTGGGTGAGAATTAAAAAAAAATTGCTGATCTAGGGCTTAGGACTTCATTATCATTATTCATAAAACATGGCATTTTATTATTCATTATTAGGGGGGAAAAAAAAAAACAAAGAAAAAAATGAGCAAGAATAAAATAAGTGGAATGATAGAATGGTTTTAAGAAACTGGATCCAGAGACAGAGCTATGATTAAAGCACAGCTTGTGGGGATCTTCCTGTGGGATGACTCTGCTGTAGACATGGGGAGTAAGGTTTAAGTGATGATTAAAGTCACAAGGGAAAGAAATAAGAATGGGAATCATTCCGAATACAGGCTTTCTACAATTCTAGCATGCCTATGTCTGCTCCTATTGGTGTTGGAGCTGAGGTTTTTCCGCCTGTCAGAAGAAAATCCAAAGGTGGATTTAACAATGTGCTTCAAGTGTCTCTGAGTTTATTATAAAAGGCAGAAAAGAAATGTATTTCCTTATCTACTGAGTGATGGACAAAAAGAAACAGGATTCAGCTGCAACAAAGAAAGTGTGGTTAGATGAAAGGGAAAAAGTCTCTGACCACAGAGTATTGAGTGAAATTAAGAAATCATTATCGAACATATCTTCTTTTTTGTTTCTTAATAATGAAATATAATTTAAAATTTTATTTTACTTTATTTGACAAGGTGGATTATAAAAAGCATGGGTTGCTCTGAAAGAAGTGGGTGTGCCTCAATGCTTGATTGTCTTCATGTGTAACCACTATTTTGGACAGAAAGCCACCGTCAGGACAGAATATCAAGAGAAAAAAATGGCTTCTTTATAGGCAAAGATGTCAGATGAGGGTGTGTTTTCTCTCCTTATTTGTTTAATCTATAAGCAGAAGATACCATATGAAAAACTGAGCTAGCTTCAGAGTAAGTAAGAATGAAAATTGGTGGTGTATTAGTAAGTTAAGATATGCAGGTGATATCATCTAACTGGGAGAAAGTAGCAATGATTTGAAACAACTTCTGATGATAGTGAAAGAATAAAGTGTCAAAGTAGGGCTTTGTGTGAATTGACAAAAATAAAAACCATGACTACAGAAGAAATGCACAACTTTAACATAGACAATGAAAACATTGAAGTTGTTAAAGATTTTGCCTACCTTGGTTCAGTCATCAACTCATTTGGAGATTGCAACCAAGAAATTAAGAGAAGGCTGAGAGGCTCGAGAGGGCAGCAGTGGGAAAATCAGGTAAGATTACTAAGAGCAAAAATGTGTCATTTGAGACCAAGGCTAAGATCATCCACACACCCCCATATTCCTGATTAATACTGTGTACAGATGTGAAAGCTGGACCTTGAAGAAGGCTGATAAAGAAAATATTGATTAATTTAAAATATGGTATTAAAGGAGAGTTCTACAGATACCCTGGGATGCTAGAAAGATGAATAAGTAGGCAAATTAAGCCTGAAATATCACTGGACAAAATGACAAAGCTGAAGATGTCCTACTTTAGACACATCATTAGAAGGCAAGATGCTTGGGAAAATGGAAGGTAGCAGGAAGAGAGGAAGATCAAATACGACATAAACTGACTCCTTAGAAAAAGCCATAGACATGAGTCTACAGGAGCTGAGTAGGGCTGTTGAAGGCAAGAAACTGTGGACATCACTCATTTATATGGTCTCCAACTCAATGGCACTTAACACATATATAAAACATATATATATATATATATATATATATATATATTTAAATAAAAGTAATTTTTAAAAGTAAAAGATATCCAATATTCAAATACAAGTTATGAACTAGAATGAGGAAGTATGTTCAAGGACCATAGAATTTCTACTTCATTGAAATATTAAATCTACTGTGTCCTCTGGAGGCAAGATGATTATTAAATATCTCTTCTAGCTCTAGGGGTTAGCCATTCCTCCACTAATGGCTTACCTTGTCATCCATGACTGCAAGGTTCCGCTCAAGTCCCTTGTGACTGTGAAACAGTGCCTCAGAGGTAGCAAGGTCATTGCCATAGTCCTCAGAGGTGAGTTGAGGCTTCTTCTCCTTGATCCACAGGATGGCTTCAGCCACATCTCTGTAAGACATCCATATGACCTCCAATGAAAGAAGACAGCAGGCATTCCAAGGCAAACAGAACACACAACAAGGTTCAATCTAGTTTACCCATTTAGAAATTACCCTATCTTAATACTCGCAAAAAGTAATGTAAATTACTTTCAATGATTTCTAATTAAGATGTAGAGACCTGTGCATCCTGACAATTGAGCCTCCAGACATACTTCTCACATCTGGGTCAACACTTCATGAATGTCTTTCTTATTCCAAGATCCATCTTCCACCCTAATTCTTTTTTATTTTATTTTATTTTTTTTCTTTAAAGATTTTTAGAGAGAGAGGAAGGGAGAAGGAGAGAGAGATAGAAACATTGATGAGAGAGAACATCAATTGGCCGCCTCCTGCATGCCCCTCTCTGGGGATTTGGCCCACAACCTAACCAGAAATCCAACCAGCGACTTCTTGGTGTATGGGTTGATGCTCAACCACTGAGCCACACCAACAGGGCCCAACCCAATTCTTAATCTACTTTCCTTGCCTCTCCAGAGCTTCCATCAATAATTCACCAGTGCTGCCTGGCTGGTGTGGCTCAGTGGTTGAGCATCGACTCATGCACCCGGAGGTCGCCAGTTCGATTCCCAGGTCAGGGCACATGCCCAGGCAGATCCCCAGCGGGGGCTGTGCAGGAGGTGGCCTATCGATGTTCTCTCTCATCGATGTTTCTATCTCTCTCTTCCTCTCCCTTCCTCTCTCTCTAAAATCAATAAAGAAAAAAATATAATTCACCCATGCCATTTTTATTGCTTTGGGCTCCAGCCACCACAAAATTGGCTATAGAGTGGGTTATAGTTTTTTTGTTTTGTTTTGTTTTGTTTTGTTTTTTACTACTTTCTCCCTTGCTGTCTTAAAAGCAATCCATTATTTTCTTCAAGGTATCGACCACTAATGGCTAACAGTAGACAAGAACATGGTTCTATTGCAGAGTTTCCTATAAAGCAGTGCCTACACTCATACCTTTTGAATTTCTGGAAGTCTGCAGCACTGAACAGTGTTTGCTGTCGCTGGAGAGCCAGACCATGGAGACGCTCCCAGGCATCATTCACCTTGCTTTGCTCTGACTTAATCAAGGGCAGCTGTGGATGGTTCTCCTTTGTGAGGAAACAAAGGCTAGAGTTATGCAAAGGTAAAATTATTTCATTATTTAAACATTTCTCGTTTCTCACTGGTTCATACTTGTCAGAAGTGAAGAATGACCAGATAGCCAGGTATCAAAATTCACGTTAGCTGTGCTTCCTAGCTCTAATCTGATCTACATTACAAAATCAAGAAAACTAACTTGCCATCTAATTGTATCTTTTGTTCACAGTACTGGTCTAGCCCACTAATACAGGTTGCCCAACCATGATGTTATTGTCAGAGCTCCAACTTCTTGATGCCTGTTAAATCCCGATAGTCATGGAAACAGAAAAAGAAGAAAAAATTCCCTTTGTGAAGTATGACTTAATTTTCCAAAACTAAAACCATAGTTCTTGAAAATTAGGGGGGATCCTAACACATTTGAAAATCAAATGAGAGCAATTTTCCTCTATCCAGAATCATACACAAATTCATACACCTACAGTTTTGCTGAAAATTTCATACATTTTTGTAAACCATTTGAAGCAATGAGATTTATGAATATTACACTAATCAAGCAGCATCCGCCTACTTTGATACTTGGAAATTTTGAGTAGTATCTCTATGGCTATCTCCCTAGCCCTCCTGTCCCTGTTTCTTCCCATTTCCAATTCCATTCTGAAGCCTCTCCAGACAGAATTTTCTACATTCTTCTTTCTGAGTGTATAGCCCTTTTTACTGTAGTTGTGTGAGCCCCAGTTCAAAAGAGTAGGGGGTAAACTCTGTATTGGATTAATCCTGCTTATGATAGATTAAAAAAAAAAAATAGCCACATTATTTTGTTGTGAGATCCTTCTTTCAAGAGAGACTCTATTTCCCCATTCATTGGACACGGGTTGCTGTGTGACTTGATTACTAATAGAAAGTGGCAGACATGATATTCTATTAGCACCAGCACTTTGGCCTCAAGAGGTATTTCAGCTTCTGTTCCCACCTTGCTGGAACACTGACACACAAAAAAGCATGGGCTACTGAAATATGAGACCACATAGAAAAAGCTTTCATTATTCTACCCAAGACCCCAGACATAGGAGCAAGGCCATTTTAGATCTTCCACCTTAACTGATCCACCAAATAACGACAGCAACTTAAACACACCGGGTGAGATCCGGAGAACTGCCAGTTGAACAGCGGAATCACCGAATCATGAATCAGTGAATCTGACTCACTGAATCATGGGAAAAGATGTTTGTTGTTTTAAGTTCGTGATACAATAGATAAAAATGTCTCCAACAAGAGAAAGATGGTAAACAGAGAAAATGTAGGAACCATTAGAAATGCAGCCTGGGGAAAAAACTGAGAAACAGTTTATTTTTCCTACTCCAGTACTGATTGATCCTGAAATCTTGGTTCAGTTAACTTAGGAAAATAATTCCCATTATAAAACTGTAGTAATAATAGAACCATAAATGGAAAAGCATAAGAGCCGTTGAAGTTTCTAGTTTTTTATCTACATATGAAGTCAGACTGACTTCCCAGTTTTCTTGCATATAGCAGGGTTATTTATTCACATACTGAGTATTGACAGCTTATTTAAGCATTTGCTTACATAACTAAAGTTAAATCTGCCTCCTTTCCCTCCACCTCCACATAGAAATTATCTATAATGATATCATATGTATTATAATAGCCCACCATTATTTTATATTCTTTGCTACTTTATTCTGATTATTCTTCATGAAGAAAGAGTGCTACATAAACATGAATAATCAGTGTACTGCACAGTGCAGGAGTTACTTCATTATGCATTTAATTTCTCTATATGCACTCACTCACTCACTCACTCACACCTCCATTTCCATGGACTGGCAAAATATGATTCCAGAGAGGAGAAGAAACTGATTTGGACATGTTACTCCAGGGACATGTGACTCTAGTTTCTCATAGTGCCCTATGTGCTTAATGTCCCACCTATTCATGACCAGAAGTTCTTTTTGAAGATCAGGGCCCTATATCTGAGTTGACTCTTTTGCTCTCTCCCTCACCTCAGCACACTTATTAGCATATTGGTTCACTCCGTCCACTCTCCCCCTCCGAGCTTCCAGGTCCACTTGGAATTCTTCAAACTTCTTACGCAGAACCTCCGTGCGCTCCCAGTCATCACCCAGTTCAACCGATGTCACTATCGTTTCCTGTAGACACAGAAAAGTCTATTGAATCACCAGCAAAAATTTAGAAATTTCTTCAGGTAAAATGCCTCAAATCCCTGCCTACCTTCCTAGGATAACTCGGGGAGATATAGGTGGACCTTGGGAGAACCACTTCTAGAAAGAGCTAAAAGCAGAAGTACATTTCTTAAGGTGGCATCATGGCCCAGGATACAGTTCTCTTTGGGGTCATAATTCAGAACAATCAGGGGTATTGTCGGCCAGAGACTATGGAAGCACCCTTTATGTTTTGAAAAAGAAAACATAAATTTGGAATGTAAAAAGAAATTCATCCTAGTTCTACTCAACTCATTATGCGGAATATCTACAAAGTCATTGTACTAAACACTTGCTTGTATAAATCTTCAGTCCTAACTATAGTATTAATCTTCAAGTATTTAGAAAAAAAGAAATCTTTATAGTTATAGGCACTGAGAAACAAGGGACTAGAAGGAGCAAAATATCATGGATGGTAGAAGTGGGGCAAACCTAGGTTATCTTCCCGTGTGTAGGTTTTGGGTAAGCCTTCGCCACACTCAGAGTCATAATTTAGACTTAGCCTCTCCCCTAACAATTGCCAGAATACCCCTAAATCCTTGGTAAAATGCCTCCTTCTTTCAAGGAACAAAGTCCAGGAACAGATACCCTGTCTTTTTTTATTAATGGTTTATATTTTAGACTATTGGATGCTTGGAATAGAGGGATGGTAATTCCTAAATGCATATTATTTAGTCATATACCTTGTCTCCAATCCACTCCAAAATGTCGGCACACTCCTGTAAGTACTGCTGGAGCTTCAGAGCCTGCCGAAGGAAGGTGCCCTTCTCCCGAGTCAGTTCTATCAGCAGGTCCCACAGGCGGCGCAATTCCTCCAGATAGGCCTTTGGGGAGAAGAGGCAAAGTTATTAAGGCACAGAGGCTGTATGTTAGGTGCAGATTCAGAGATTTGTGCAGAGAGGGACCTAGATAAAAATGTCTCCTCCCATTCACGTGTGCATTAATTGCTCAACAAATATTTAAAAGAGAAAATAGGATATGTGATTAAAGTAAGCCATATATTATCTTCCATAAGACAAACATTTTTAGAAATGCTTTGGGGTTTTAGACAGTAAAATGATTACACACACTCAGATAGGATAAAGATTCATGGAAGTGTGCTCATTTGAACTGGACTTTAAGAAACAGAATTTTGATAGATAGATAATAATAGGCAGAGGGTATTTGAAGCATAAGAAACTCAGCATGAACTGTTTTTCAGAAAATATCAGAACTACAATTTTGCTGGCTTACAAAAAAAATCAGTGGCACCAAAGCAATAAGAATTTTGAGACAATAGAGTTGAGGGCTTTGATGCCAGATTAACTTGAAGACCATGTAATACATATCCTGTAAAAGTGAAGTTATCATCTATATCATGTCTTCAAGAATCTTGTGTCTTGTAGCTACTCCATTGTTCAAGGTAGTATATAGACTACATTTCTCTCTAAATCCTTCATGATACAATCTGACATAGCCCTGGTGATTCTGATAGATGTGAAGATGTTTTAAACATTTCTCAAATATTTTAACTAATGTAGAAACTTGGTGGCACACAAAACTGTGAATAATACAAAAATAATGTCTATTTTATATCAACAAAAAACTTTTGAAATTTTCTTGTTACAGATTCTTCTTTCTAATAAGGTTATATTCTGGTTAAATTCTGTACTCTCTCATTATATTTTGTTGACAGTAAAATGGGTTAGAATTTGCTAAATATGGGAAGACAAACTCTAATTTTAAAATATGTAATGCAAATGTTTTGGCAAGTTAAAAAATACATGAATAGTATGATATCCATTTATACAAAAAAAGATACTGAACTGACTGATCAACGAAAACATGTTCAAACAGTACGTAGATTAAATTTAAAAAGATCTGATACATGAAAAGTGGATTCCAAAGTAGTGGTGATCTTCAGTGTTCTGTGTTCAAGGAGAATTTTGAAGAAAAGGATTTGTAGGAGTTTTTCAAAGTGATCAGGAGGGGTTGGAGGTCTACAATAGTGATTATACTATGTGGGTTGTGAAGAGAAAAAGGTATCATAGACAAAGGGATAAAAATTTCAGAGAAGATTTAAATGGAGAACATCCCTTGTTCAGAAAAGTTTAAGGGACAAGGACTCTGAGATCTGAAACAATAATTAGGGTATTTGGGAAAGTCAGTTCATCTGGAAATATGGAACCTGCATGAGGTGGGCTTGATCTTGAGTCAATTTATTCTGCAGTGGCAAGAGGAGGAATGTGATACAATCAATGACAGCTTTTATGTCATAGTTCTTCTCCTCACCCCAAGAAGGAACACAAGGACATCCCATAATTCTTCTTACCTCAGCTCCAGTAGAAGAGAAGAGGCAGAAGCCCAAATTCCGAGCCAACTACCTCAAAGTTTATACTGGGTATAATCAATTAAAGCCCTGATAAAATAATCAACAATTAGAAACTTATCTTTGAGAGCCCTACTATATATTTACCTTGGTGTCCTCATGGGCAGAATGCCCCTCAGGAAATCGGACTTCCCTGCTTTCTTCCAGCTTAGGAATGATCCTTGATTTTGCTTGAACCTCTGCTTCGAAAGATTCATGCTTCTGGTATTTCCCCTGAAGTTTAGAAATCAGAGTTTATAGCTAATGAAGCATAGTCTCCCGGAACCATAAAGAGGTCCTTTTGTTCCTTTTACTTATAGTCAGAACTACTTGTTGACCAACGCAGATTAAGTGATAACCTATGACCATAGCCAGAGAAGTCACATCCTAAAGGAAATGGCACAGGTTTTCAAAGGGTCCCAGGCTCAAAGTCAGTGACCACAGATAAAGGTTTTTTCCTGCCCTATTGCCTGTGGGAAATTTCCAATAAATATATTATTATTTTAAAGTCTCAATTCTCTTCTTGCAGAATAAAAGAATGTAACACAGAATTTTTCCTCTGCAGAATTTTCAGAAAAGAAAAACTAAGTGCAGTAGGGAACAGTGAGGAAGATGATCATTATAAAATGCTTTTAGTTAAATTAAGTGTTCATGTACCAGATTATGTTATTATTGTTATATATGAATTAATACAATTAATTTATAATTAAATGATTTGAAATAATAATCATCCCTTTCAGGCATTAACTGTTTCTTCTGATCATGACTATGCCACGTGCTATAATACAGGTAAGTGTGGGAACTTCCCTAAACTTCTCCTGGGACATCTCATTTGGACTTAATAAGGGGTATGACTAGCCATTTGCAGAAAAAAATTCATGTCTTTCTTAGGAGAGTGGAAATCAGTTGTTTCAGAAGCCTTAATGTCTTTTCACCTCAATTCCATCCTTAATGTCAAAAATATTAAAATCACATGAATAAATTCCTTAAACTCTCAGTTACTGTTTTGCCCATAGTTTAACATCAGGTGACTATGATATTCATAGAATTTATCTAGAATGACACTCCTTTGTAAATAAGACACTGAGGCTTAAGCAGTTGAAGGTAAGGGCTACTTACAAGCAAAATTACTGTTCCTAACAGATAGCCTAATCTTTCTATTACATCCTCCTCTTACAGTTAACCAAATATATACTTCTTACAGGAATATTTCCCTTTCTAGAGATCTTATGGTCTGTTCTGGGGAAGTTAGTGGAACTGAGTGACCTGTATGTTAGTTGGATCTTCATAGCTCTTATCTTCTACAATCTTCAGTTTCTCCAAGATCCACTTCTCCAGGTCACCTGCATCCCGCATGAAAACCTGGTAATAGTAGGACTCTTCGAGCTTCTGGCCCCTCTCAGCAACCAGCTGCTTGAACTTCTCGTACCGAGTCAACACCTCCCGACGCCTCTCCTGGATCTCTTCTGCTGTTTCTAGCACCTTTGGCCCACCGCTCTCCATAGCCTGCAAGTTAGAAAAGCTCTTTCCATTGCTGGTCCTCAAATCTCTAGTATGCTGTCACTTTTATGTGTCCCAAGGCATTTACTCATGTTGGACTGATATTCAGGTATCTTTAAACCTGTAAAGCCTGTTGTTAGAAGTGCTGTAATACATGTATGTAATTTTGACTATATACAGCTAAAACTAGGATAATAACTCTTTTTTTAATTGATTTTTTTTTTTTAGAGAGAGAGGGGAAGGGAGAGAGAGATAAAAATATCAATGGGAGACAGGAACATCAATTGGCTGTCTCCTCCATGACCTCCACTGGGGACTAAGCCCACAACCCCAGCACATGCCATGACTGAGAATCAAACCGGAACCTCTCAGTCCATCAGATGATGCTTAATCTACTGAGCCACACTGGCCAGGTTAGACTAATAACTCTCGATCATCCGGAACACTTTTCTCAGAAACTTGTGCCAACATTTAAGGTCTACAAATAGAATTAATTCTGACTAATAATACAAATTATGTTTAAATTGACAAAATCATAGTTTCAGATGGATAAAAATGTGATTTTATTACCTTCGAAGGCTAGTAAGGTTGACAAGTTCTGATCATTCTGAACTCAATGAATGATTAAAATTGGCTTCCAATTAACTTTACTAATAATATACATAAAAGCTTAAATGTTGTTTTCTTCTTAAAAATGTAGCTCATATATTCTTTACTCTTTTTATTGCTTAATTCACAGGCACTACAAATTAAAAGTTCAGCCCTTTTTCTAACCAATTATTACAAAATTCAAATTTTAGTATCTTAGTAATTAGCTTTTGAAACATAAAACATTGTACTCTCAAACAACATAAAAGATTCCCTTTCTATAGTGAGATCTAACTTATTTGTGATGATATCCTGCAAAGTCTCCATAGAGTTCATCTTCATTCATTTGGATCAAGGCACAATTTCCCCTAGCTTATCTCAGCCAGAATATTCTATATAAAGTTCAAATTTCAGTCTCTTACTTTCTAAATATAATTACTACCCTGTGGATGGCCTTTACTAGTTTGGCTAGAGAATTAAATCACTCTATGGAAACTCACATCAGTATTATGTATTATTTTGTTCCAAGTTACTAGTTGTTCTCTCTGGGAACCCATGTAAACAAGTCACGCTGAATTTTAGTGCTGTATAGGCACAAGTTCAGGGTCTTTGTATAAAGTGAAATATTCACAAAAAAAGAGAATTAGAATTTAAATTCTCTACTTCATAAGAGTCCAGAATAATTTTTAATCCTCCTGTCAAAGACAGTACAGAAAGTTCAAAGGAGATAGCTTTTCTAAGTATACTAAGGACAAATTGCATTCTAAAGAATTCTGTACTCACCGTTCCTTTGGAAAGTGCTCTAGTTTTCTTAAAGGTCTAGAACCTGGGAAGATAAAATGTGTCAAAAAGTGAGAGAGGCAAAGAGGGAGAGGGAGAAAACAGACAATTCACATGGAATTGTCTAGTTTAATTCAGATAATGACTAGAAAAATGTTACAGATGTGGCAGAGAGAGAGAGGGAGAGGGAGAGGGAAAAAAAAAAGCCTCTTAGTTGGGTTCAGGCTCCCGCCGGCTACAACCTACATTATCTTCAGGAGACAGATTCAGCTGAAGCAGCTGCAAACTTCTACAGATGCTGAGTGACTCAGCAGTTTTGGGGGACGATAGCTCTTAAAGTTTCTCAGTAGAACTACATAAAAAAAAATGAAAGCAAGTTTTTTAGATGGAAAATTAGAAAAAAACAGCTATAGATGTAAAATAAAGATTTGAAATGTGTTAAATTTGTGCTTTGTTTCTTTAATTAGTTTTATATTTTATGTTTGAAAATAATAAATTAGAAATAATTTTATGTAGTCCACTCTTCAGACTATGCAGAATTATAAGAATTCAGGGCATACACAGGTTCTTATTTCAACCCGTCCCTAGGAAATACAATTGAACAACTTCATCCAAACCCCACTGCAGATTTTTAACAGCATTTAATTCAACAAGATATCCTAATTCTTGCTGTAGAACCTTTGCCTAAACAGAAATAAAATTTTATTACTGGCCTCACAGATTGGGTTCTAAACATCTGATTTAACTCTTAATAATGTACCCTTAATAATTTAAATGGAAGAAACAAAGGAAGTAAGATGTGTATATTTATGTGTATTTCATGAAGCAAAAATTAGGATACCTTATTTGATAAACTAATGAAGTCAGAAAGCATTTAAAAATGGGACTGAGATCTAAAATGTGAGATAAAAGTCATCCTATTTTATGTATTTTTTTTAGTTTAAATGCATTTAATTTTATTATTTTTAATGGAGAGAAAAGGAAGCAGAAATTCTTTTACAAAGGCATAGTTCTTTTAGGCAACTTTACAAAACTGAAACAAACAAAAAGGAAATAGTGTAATAGTTTCAGATCCTCCTGTAAAGCAGCGGTGTTGCCAGTGGAAATGGGGTTCTTTCAGAGTCACCAGGAAAGCATGCCGGAGACCTGGGTATGGGAGGATGTGATGGTTTATTGAAGAAACTGGAGCAAACACAAAGGACTGTCCTGGATTCAGCTCTGGTGTCTCATTTCCATCAGTGCTGCCATGAAAAAAGTCCAGCCTTATCTTTGTCAAGCCCAGAAATAGGGCCAATGTCCAGAGATTCTGTGCCATTTTTTCAGTCCATGTCTGTCCCCATTCGCTTAGTCTGGGTTCCGGCTGCGCCGCCGCAGGTGCTGTGCCCAGACCTATGCTCGGAGCTCACAGGGCTGCTGGGTCACGGGCAGCTCCTAGGCCCCCATGGCTGCTATGGAGAGGCGATGTGTGAACAAACAGGGCCAGCACATGTCATGGAGGGAGGGATGGGGGGGAGTATGCTTTGCTAAGCTTAGATTATATTATTTCAGGCTTGGAAGGACCCAGGTGCTTTTTCAAACTAACCAATCAACTTCCAAGTCTGTCATGGGCTTGACTGGTTCCTCCCCTTAAACAATCCATTTCCTAGATCTTCCAGGGTTCTGTGTCCTTTAGCTAATCGGATCCTTTTCCCAGGCTAGACAGACAGGCCTTTATGGTTGCCATCTACGCTTCTACTGTGCATGCCTCATAGTAGAAACACCTCCCCCAGGGCCACCTTAGCTTCTGGTGGGCATGCACCCGACAGTCATTTCTCCTACTGTTTTTATTCCTTCTCCCTCATTTTCCAGGTGAATGGACCAGTTATACCCTAGGATGATTGAAAAGCAATCCTTTGTCCCTACAAGGGTATACTGAGGGGTGTCCATCCCCTTGTCAGTATGATGCTGTGATCCCCTGGGGTACCTGCTGCAACTTCCTAGCAAAGCAGGCTTATACTCCCTAGTTGTTTATGCTTAATAATGTCTGATGCTGTTTACTCCCTTCCTTTATTAATATCTAGCTACCTATGTTAACAGTGGTATTACCCATGCCAAACTTTATTCCAGTATAAATCCAATTTGAATAATCTAACTTTCATGATCCACTAGATTGAATCAAGGTCCTACATTTCTGGTTTTCCCTGTTCCTGGATCTTCTCACCCAAAGAACTAGAGAGAGCTTTAAATTATCTTCTTAAAAGTCTAGTACTACTTTACTTTTCCAAATAGTTTTATTATATTCAAATAAAATTTGAATACTAAAAGCAGGAACATAAATCTTAAAGAAAGCATTATATCACATGCAGCAAGAAAACTGACTGGAGTTTGGGTGGAGAGGTAATATTTTTAATCTTTATTCAAGAGATAAGAAGAACCACCTTCAATTAGAATTTATCATATCTTAATTTACATATCAACATGGTTAATTTACATTATTTTCTAACCTTTAGAAGATTTTGCAAAACAAGTATTATAAACCCCATTTTTATGTGAGAAATCAGAGATAGTCTCTGAGAGGTAAGCCCATCTCATGGTTACTCGGTTTGTGTGTTTTTGAACAAAGTCAAATCTGTGTGAGTATGACCATCATGCCACTGTGCTCCTTATCTGTGTTAGTCCTAGTCCATCAACATTTTTTATTGTCCTGTTCCAGACTTTCTCAACCACGTGAAAACCTATGACCAAAGAAATAATAGGACGCAATCAGCATGATTGGCCATCATGGAATACAATTAAAAAGTCGATAAGAACAATAGTCTTTAAAGCAGGTAGATGTGCACAGGATACAGTCAAGAAAGAGGTTTCATACTGATGATGAAATGTCCTTTGAAGTTTAAGTCATTGTATCCAGGGACAATTCATGGTAAAAGTTTCTCTGACAGTACTGTCAGTTATTGTGGCAGTGACTGACTTTAAATTTAGTCCCACCCTGTCCTCTAAAAGACTGACAAGTGTTTTCAGGCTGCAAGCACTGTTTACCATTATTAGTATGAGTATCAGGGTATAACCTTGGGGTTTATGAAAGGGCATAATAAAATCTTCAACTCTGGTGACTTAACACTTGGACTTCTGATCTTTTGCCACTATTATAGTTTTACAAGAATGCCTATTGGCTCTGATGATGTAGAGAACCTGATTAGAGGAGCTCAGGTAAAGAATGCTGACAGATACTGTGGAAGTTTAGATCCATGTACCATCTTTAAAACTGCATGTTGTTGCGCTGTACCTGAGAGGTTGCAGAAGAAGCTTGAGTTCATCACAGACAGGTTCATTAAAGAGAAGTCTTAATTTGGTTTCACAAAAGTGGGAGCAATTTGGAGGGCTGTTTTATTTGGTCATGCTTATCAGCTCTGGGTATATATGTTCTTCACACACCGGTTTAATCTGCACTGCCCAGCTTGCCTGAGCCTCAGCTCAGTTAGCAGATCTTCCTTTCCTGGTCTCAGAAACACCAAGAGATGTTTTATACGCAAAATTTCTGAAGTCTTTTCAACTTGCATTGCTAAAACTCATATGTTTACTATAGATTTCTTGGAGGCCGACTTTCTCCTTATTTACCAATGGGAAAAATATGTTCATTTTAATGTAAAACTTTTTTGTTTGTTTGTATTTTGGAAAGAGGTCATCATTATTTTATTACTTTTTAAATTTTATTTTTGTTTCTTCAAAATTAGTACTCATTTAAAAATGTCTCCAATTTTTGCCTCCCAAATGGGTTAGAATATTAGATGACATGATTCAAAAAAAAGTAAATAAAAATACTTTTTGTAGTTTATTGTATCCATATAAACTCTTATCACTCAGGTCCTCTAAAGTTATTTATTCCTTAACTCTATTTGAAAAATCATATATTGTTCAATTTTGCAACCCTATAATAAAAAAATAGAACTCTTTTTTCCCCATACTATTATCTTCTCTTGCTCTACTTTTATTTTATTATTTCTCTGTTTTATGTATTTGGTGTTACTACATTGGATAAGAAAAGCCCAAATCCCTGATATTATTTTGTTTTATAGTGAACTATGTAATTAAAATATAAAGAAACCATGGGGTAATAGAAATTACATTGGTTTTGAAACAGAAGCATGTAATTTGAAGAATTAATTCCACCGTTTAATAATCAAGGGATCATTGGAAATCTGCTTAAATTTTAGTAACTATATTCAGGTGATAGTAATGATCAATCTATCTATTCCAGAGAATAGTTATATGACTCAATTTATATGGTTGATTATAAAATACATTTTACTTAATTTAACACAGAAAAAATAAGTATTGTTAACTGATGTGAATAATGCCAACAAAATATATTTTAATTACTTCAAGTCATGCATTTTATATCGATTCATTAATTTTGAAAATCAATATATAAAGGGCAGACATTTGATATGGGATAGTTTTTCATAAAGCTAAGTACTTATTTTTTGAAAAATAATTTTCAGTGTATCATTAGAAAATCTTACTTAAAATTGCTTTATGTTCTCATCCACTAATAATTATCTCTTAGCACAGCAACCCTATATATGCTTAATCCTTATAGACATTATGAAAACAGTATGATTGTTGACATGGCCACACTCAGGGATAAAGGAGCTTAACTAAAATAATATTTTTTCCCATTAGAATAAAGGAAATTCAAAGCCAAGTGCTAGTGTTAAACATACTATTTCCTTTGTAGTCATGACTAAACTATAAAGTTTAATTATTATCTTTAAGGGATTAGATTCTAAATATATCAATGAAAGTACTATTTAGCATCTTAATATATGCATCGCATAAACTTAAGTGGATTATCTGTGACAGGGCTTCATGTCACTATTAAAAATTGCTTTATATGCAAATATACCACAAACCTTGCCTTTACCCATTATGTCCCCCTCCTCTGTCACTAATTCTCTTTGAATGTGATAATAGTCTAAGTTGGTTTTATAACATAACTTTTTTTTTGTAACATAATTTTGTCAAAAGACAAAAAGTGCCTCTAATCATTTATTTAGTCTTCCAACAAACCATTATTGAGCATTTCTATGAGCAAATAATTCTAACAGGCTTTAGGAATATACAGATGAACAAAATAAGTTACCTACTTAGAAGGTGTTCATAAACTAGAGGGCCCACACAAGACTTGTAAACTATGATGTCAGATTGAATAAAAAGTTTACTAAATAGAAGTTCAAGAAATGTCTTA